ACTCTTGGCCAGAGAAATGGCTCAACAGTTAAAGAGCACTGACTGCTCTTGCAGAGGACCCAAGTTCAATTCCCAGCACCCACATGGCAGCTAACAATTGTCCATAACTCTGGTTCTAGGGGATCCAAGCCCTCTTCTGACCTCTGCCAGCATTACGTGACACAGGTGCACCTACCTATATGCAAGCAATACAATGATACATATAAGTGAGACCCTGTCTCAAAAAAAGAAAAAGGAAAAAGACTGTTTTGAAATAGCTGTGAAGAATATAACGGAATAATGGCAAAGCTGACTCCGGCTACTCAGAAACTTTGCTAGATGAATGAACACATTATTTTAAAACTTACTAAACTGTAATAAAGAAAAGATTTTTTTTTAAAAATCACAACATATTACTTCTAAGTTTTTGTTGTTTATGAAATAGGGTCTCATGTAGCCAAGGCTAGCCTGGAACTCAATATGTAGATGTGGATAACCTTGAACTTCTGATTCTCCTGCCTTCGCCTCCTAAATGCTGGGATTATAAGCATGCACTACCACACCTGTTTTGTTTTTGTTTTTAAGTGGTGCTGGGGACCGACCCTTGAGCTTTGTGCACATTAGGCAAGCACTTTACCATCTGAGGTACGTGACGTCTACGTTTTCTAAGTGGCAGAAACAGGAAGGCACACAAAAGAATAAAACTAATTACTTTAATGTTAATATATCTTGAACCAAGGAAAATAGTAACACACATACACCAAGTCCATATGCCAAGTCTTTTAATGTGATTTCTAAATGTCTTCCAAATTAGTAGAATCAGTTCTGCAAAACAGAGCACAATTTAAAGTGCAGGACAAGAATTCAATCTCAAGATGATGTCATCCCTCCCATTCCCAAAGTGCTCTCCAAGGAGTATTTCAAGTAAGAAACCTAAGGACATTCAACAACTCAGAAGACCTGGGATTTTAGACATTTCCCTGTTTCTCAAGTGCTGCCCTCTCTTCCTCTACCTCTAACTGACTTGTATTCCTCTAAATTCCCTATGCCATTTGTACTTGAGTCTTAAGGCACCCAGTACTCAAGTGATAAAATCATGTGTCTACTTGCCTTTCCTTACAAAAACATTAAGTTCTTAGGGACCAAGACTGTTCTGCATCAGCCCAGAGCTATTTAAACAAGTGGTCAATTAACTGGGTACTGACTCAATTCACTCTTAGAATTCAAGTCCCAATCTTTTTTTCTCACAGCCAAAAGCACACTGATAGCTCCTCAAAATAAACAGAATTATGATAATTCCATTTCTGGATATACACCCAAGAGGACCAAAAAGCAAGAACTTAAAACAGAATTTTTACACCCATGTTCGTGGCAGAATTCTTCATAAAACTGTAGTAAGGCAGAAAAACTCCATATGTCAAATGACAGATTAATAAACTGTGATACACACACACACGCGCGCGTACACACACACACACACACACACACACACACAGAGAAAGTCAACCTTAAAAAAGGATTTTTCTTTTTTTTAATTTTATGTATATGCATGTATTGCCTGCATGTAGGTAAGTGCACCTGTGTCGTGCAATGCCCGCGGAGGTCAGAAGAGGCTGTTGGATCCCCTGGGACTGGAGTTACGAACAGCTGTTAGCTGCCATGTGGGTGCTGGGATGCGAACCCAGGTCTTCTACAAGAACAACCAGTGTTCTTAAATGATGAGCCATCTCTCCAGCCCCCAAAAAGGAGGAAATTTTAACACATATACATCAATGAACCTGGAGGGCATGAACCTGGACACCATCACAAAACACAGAAAGTGTACGAGGCATGGTGGTGTATACCTTGAATCGCAGCACTTGGGAGGCAGAAGCAGGCAGATCTCTGAGTTTGAGGCCAGTCTGGCCTGTCATGTGTTGCAGGCCACCTGGGACTAAATAGTGAGACCCTGTCTTAAAAATCAAAACAAAAAAGGTGGTACGGGGGGAGGGGAATAGACTATTAAAATCTGAATTACAAAATATTATTTCTTTTTAGATTTTTTTTTTATTATTTTGTCTTTTTTTTTCGGAGCTGAGGACCAAACCCAGGGCCTTGTGCTTGCTAGGCAAGCGCTCTACCACTGAGCTAAATCTCCAACCCCTATTTTTAACTGTATGTGGGTGCTATATGCACATGTACGTGTGTGCCCAGAGGACAGGTGTCCCATCTCCTAGAGCTGGAGATACAGGCAGTTGTGAGTAGCCTGACATGGATGCCAAGAACCTAACTCAAGTCCCCTGTACCCTTAACTGCTGAGCCATCTCCAGTATGGTAGTATTTCTACATTATTTTAACCCTCCACAAAACTATGGTATGCAATATTGACATATGGAAAAGTAAAACAATCATAACCAGATTTTTACTTGAATTTTTAAAGCCCAGGATTTGTGACCCTAGCACATCAGCTAGATAACATATTCCCTAAGAGTATGAATTAGGTCATCTGCATTTCCCAGAGTGCACTATAAAAGACAGCATTAACTATGGGTTAAACCAAACTTTCCTCAATGGCAAAACATTCTCCACTATCAGTGTAAGTTTACAGATCTGTAAACCTTTTTAGTCTCCTTATCAATTCTATTTTATTGCTGTTGTCACTTCCCTTTGCTGAGAAGGAAAGGGAACACTTCATTTAAGTATAGTACAGTTGTTTTTTCAGCCTTTACTGAACAAAAGCCAAATCTAGACTTTAACTTCAGTATAATTAAACATAAGACTATGTGGGCTGGAGAGATGGTTCAGCAGTTAAGAGTACAGAGTACATACCACTCTTGCAGAGGACCTGAGTTCAGTTCTCAGCGCCCATGTCAGGGGGCTCACAACTGCCTGTAACTCCAGCTCTAGATCAGACACCCTTGTCTGGCTTCCAAAAGCACCTGCATCACAGGCACATACCCACATACCCCAACACACAAGTATCAATAAAATCTTTTTTTTAAAAAATCTGTTTAAAAAACAGACTCATTCAGCCACTAGTGCATAAATATTGATTGCATGTTTATTTTCTCATGAAAAATGCCAAGACAAGTAATTTCTCTTAATAAGATCTGACATATCAGCAAAAACATCCCACTAATGTGGTTACCCAGGCATTAAATCCGTAATGTCTAAAACCAGCTCAATACAGGCTGCTGGCAAGCCAATGCAACAGAAGTTTTATTTATTATTTTTATGTGTATGTGTGTATTGCCTGCACGTAGGTAAGTGCACCCGTGTCGTGCAATGCCCACGGAAGACAGAAGAGGCTGTCAGATCCCCTAGAACTGGAGTTACAGACAGTTGTTAGCTGCTGTGTGGGTGCTGGGATTCGAACCAGGGTCTTCTTCAAGAACAGTGTTCTTAACTGCTGAGCCATCTCTCCAGCCCCGCAACATAAGTTTCCCTTACTCTGAATTTTAAAAAGGCAACACTAAGCTTTATGCAATACAATATGGTCTAGGTGGACTAACAAACAATAAAACCATCCAGGTGTGGTGGCGCACGTCTTTGATCCCAGCTCTTGGGAGGCAGAGGCAGGTGGATCTCTGTGAGTTTGAAGCCAGAAGCCTGGTCTACATGAAGAGTTCCAAGCCAGCTGGGGCTACTTGGAAGGCCGTCTCCAAAAAGACGAAAAAAAAAAAAAAAAAAGAGTAAGACAACGCTTTTACCAGCAACAGCTAAATAACTTACCTCTTTGTTAAATGAAGCTCATGTAGCAAAACCTGTACCATAAAAGCATCCAAAAATTCAAGTGTTTTAGAAATGAGTATTTAATTTAAACTTAAAATTAGGATTCGGGTATGGCTTAGTGGTGGAGCAGTGCTTTTGTGACTTAAACTCCAATACACACAATCATTTTTTAAAAATAATCTTTGTTAGACTAATTGAGATTAAAATGTAAATCCAGTCCTTCCTGTTTAAAAAAACAAAAAACACAGCTTTGTGAGGAGCTCGACAAGGCGAGCTAAGCTCCACATAGCAAACTGGGTTTAAAGTCCTAAGGTACCAAAACAGTCACCAAGTCTAGCTACCAACCCACCACCCCATTGGTGCAAAAAAAGCCCCGCCCGATAAAGCCTCAGGAGCTGACAAAAAGTGAACTCCAGTAAAGGTTGTGGCCCGCCACATTTCTAGCCGCTGAAGACTCTGCCTCTACCCCTCCCACCACTTCCGCGGAAGCACAGCAAACTCTCCAGAAAGGACCTTGAGCACCGCGTCGCAAAAATTACAACCAAGAGGACCAGGAACCACGTTCCTTGTTTCCTCTCAGTTACCGCGCCATCCACGCGGAACGGTGCAGCGGAGATCCGCGTGCCCGGGGGGAGGAGGGAAGGCCGAACCCCAGGAGTAAATCCCCACACTGCCACAGCTCCGAGCCAGCAGGGCCCCTCCCACCCCCAGGGCCACAGGGCGGGGCAGACCCGGGAGGCGCGACTCCAAGCCAGACGCCAAAGCGGGCTTTCCCGGGCACAGCTTCACCGCCAAGGAGGCGGAAACCCCGGCGGGGGCGGAGTAGTTGAGGGGAGTGGCCTCGCCGCCGGGGACCGGCCTAGAGGCCAACCGGATCCCCGGAAGGCGGGGGAACTCGGGCTTCACGCCCCCTCGCTGCCGCACCCTGAAGCCTCAGGAGGGCGACTTCCTCCCGGTCCACGCACTACCGCGGCCTGAGAGCAGCGCACGCCTGAGACCCCGCCCACCCAGAAGGCGGGCCCGCAGCCGCCGACTCTCCGCGCGAGGCCGACCCGCCCCTTTCTCCACCATCGCACGCGCGCGCCGGCCCCGCCTCTGAGCGGCGGAACCAGAGCCCGCCCCCCCCTTGCGCACCGGGACTACGCTCTCCTCCCCCTCCCGCACGGAGCAGCCCTGCTCCGCCCTCCACCCCCCTCATACAGCCACACACGGGAAGCCGAGGTCAGCCCCCCCAAAAATAACACGCCCTCGAGTCCCGCGTTCCCCGCCAGTCAGGCTGCCGGCCGGATCTCAGGCCAGCGTGCGCTCACCGCAAAGCTCTTTCAGCCGCCCGGTATTGCGTGTCCCTCCCAGCGTGAGCCTCTCACTCAGCAACGAGGCCCCGAGAACGGCGCGGGGCACAGGCCCGCCAGGGCGGACTGGCAACCTTCTCTGGGTTCGCGAAGCGATCGCAGGCCTTGGTGCCCAGATTGGGAAGGAGGGAGGGAGGGAGGGAAACTCTAAGGGGGGGAAGGGGAGGGGGGAAGATGGAGAAACCGTCTCTGCCGCCTCTACCGCCGCGGCCGCTTCTCTGTTACCCGGGAAATCCCGCCCACTCTCCCGGCCCGCCCCGCCGAGGGAAGGCTTAGCTTAGCCCCGCCACAGGACAGACTATCCTTCCATCAAAGACTTAGCCAATCACCGTGCCGCACGGGCTTACGTCCCGCCCCTTCCCTCTCGGCTGGGAGAGGAGGGGGAGCCGCTCACCTTCTCCACGCCCCTATTGGCGGGGAGCGCCCCTAACTCAACCCCGCCTATTGGAACCGGATTGCCGACTCCCACCCCCAAACTGCAATGCTATTGGAGAAAGCAGAAAAGCTCTTCACGTCTGATTGGACAGGCCTACATATACCGCCCCATACCGCCGCAGCCACAGGCCTAACAAATCGGCTCCCGCCTCCGCCGCTCAGCGCATTGGAAGGCTACCTTTGGCTTTCTCACCTCCCCAGGAAGGTAAGTAACCGAAGTCGGGTAAAATGTCCGTAAGTGAAGCCGACGCCTCCCACCACTCTGCTAGGCCAGGCCCCGCCCCCAACAATCGGATTGGATTATCTTGGCGCCGGTAGGCGCCTCCATTGGACACGGCGCGCGTCCAGGAAGGAGCCCATTCCGTCCTGCGCAAGGATGCTGAACCTTACCAGTCCTTTTGTGGAATGTTTACACAGGAGACAGAAGCACAGAGTTCTAAAGCCGAGATGGCGCGAAGTACGGCGGCCGAAACCTGAGGCCTTGGGATTTGAAGGGGAGAAAGGCAGTGGTACTACCATCCTCCATGACCCTTAGCAAAACAATGACAAAAAAAGAACCTTATCCTCCTCACCACACTTAATTTTACACTTTTGCAGGGTCTCCTAAACACAGGTATCTAGAGTGGCCAGTAGCTATTTTGAGTAAGAGCACAAAATTCAAGTCTGGAGCTCAGCTCTTATAAGACCCCAAGGATTGTCAGCCTGTCGCTTGGAGTGGCTGCACACTCAGACACTCCAAGAATCTGAATATGCAGTCCTTAGAGGGCGGAGATAATCCAGAGGCGGATCTTAAACGCCACCACCCTGGCAAGCCTCCGGAAGGCGGAGCGGGAGGCAAAATGTACTCCGGAGGCATCTCACACTGGAAGAACAGGGATGCAGAAGAAATGCTCAAGTAGACCACTACCTCCTGGGCGAGGTTAATGGCAGTCCCCAGGCTCTATTGTGTAGGTTGGTAACAATGCCTGGAACACACGAAATCCTTTCCATACCTAGTTGCTTTTATTCAAGTAAGCCGTGGGTCCAAAGACGACTTTGCTTTGGGAGGTGCTCTCGCTGCGCCAAAAGGGGAGGCGGGACTAGTTCTACGCAAAATGATACTTCTCCCCACAGTACAGTATGTCTCCAAGAGATAGGGCACAGGGAACCATTCTTAAATCCAGTATGGTTCTCCTTTTGTAATCCTGCGGAGACAGCATTAAACAAATGTTGGCAACAGGTGGGCTAACTCCAAGGATGGCTTTCAAGCTTTGGGGCCGGAGAGTTGTGAACTCCCTGAGTGGCCGGCAGGTGGGAGCAGCCACACCGCCAACCAAGCCAAACCCAGCCCCAGTTGAAGCTCAAAAAATAAGAAAAATTCCGGGCCAAACCGCTCCGAGGCTGAGCAAGCGGCCCTCCAGAACTGATGGAAGCCTACCTTCAACTGAGCTACCATAACCCTACACTGAGTACCACGCGGCACTCCCGCAAATGTAACACACACTGAACCCTTGCCAGAATTAGGCCGCCTGGACTTGCCGATCGCAGAGACCGAGCTCTCGTAGGTATTCGCTAAGGTTCTAGCACTAGACTGTCAAGTTTCAGATTCCGCCAACTAAGGATCTTGCTCCGGGCAGAAAAGACACGGCCAACGTCCGAGCGTTCTAGCTTAAACTCAAGGGAGTCAAGGGGTGTGGAGACAGTCAAGTTTGACCCCGGCGGGAGGGCAGACCTCAATCCCTATTCTCAAAGCAGCACCCCCAGAAGTACGCCCTCCAGGTAACATCACAATTGCATAGTTTCATCTCGAGGGCTACCCAATTTCAAGTCTCGTTAAGATCTTTGTGTGCCTCCAAGGATCTCCCCGCCCCCCTCACCAAGGGCGCCGAGCCTGGAACTTCCGGGCGGGAGGGAAGTTGCGGGGAGCAAGGCGGGCCTCACACATGTGCTAAGCGCGGACTCGAGAGGAGGGAGGGAGTGGGAGTACTTCCCTCCTAGCTCGCGCAAGAGGAGCGCCAGTCCGCCAATCAGGGACAGAGGCGGGGCCTTGCGGCTCACGTAAACCCCAGGAATCCTCCCTCCAACCATCAAAGAAAAAAATCCTAGCAACTTAAACTCAGTTCAGCCTCCCGATAGGCGGAGCTCTGGAGGATGCCATCCAATCCATACACAAAAAGGGAAAAAGGGAGTCGCACCCGACCAGTGGAAGACAAGAGAAGGCTGGGCTTCAGGCGGAGCCGGAGCTGGGTGGAAGAGGAAACAGCCCCGCCCCTCGCGTCCCCTCCAGGCCGGTTGCACAAGCCAGCAGCCGAGGAGATAGTAAACAGTCTGGGCGGAGGAGTGGAAGCAGGGGCGGCCGCGCACTCTGAGGACCCGGCCCCAGCACCTCCCCTCCCGACGCTACACCGCCCAAGCCCAACAGTCGGCGTCGGCGCCCCGCCTCTCGGCCCGCAGCCGCCATCCCGGCTGACAGGCGCGCCCCTCCCCGCCCGCTGATGCATTTCCTTTTCCCGATTCCAAGCGTGGAGTCTGTTTTCCCAGTTTCCGACCTTCACTGCCCCTTCCAGGCCACCCCCTCGAGAGCGCGCGCGCGCGCGCGCTAACCCCACACAGCCGCCCCCGCCCCGTACGCGGCCCCGTGGCACGCAGCGGCACCTCGCGGAAAGAGGGAGCCCGGCAGCCGGGGTAGGGGAGCAGTCGCCGCCGCGGCCGCCGTGGGGTGGGCGGGGAAGGAGGCAGCTCCATGTTTGCAAGATCAGCTGGGGCCGCGAACCGCATCCGCCGAGTTCCTGGAGGTTTTCCACACTCCGGCCGGAGCTCCGCACGGGGTCGCAGGCTAGCGGCCTCTGGCGCCAAATGCTAGCGGGATTGCTACGGCCTGGGAGTTCGGAGAGCCCCCGGCAGCTCGTGGGGCCGGCGGCCCGAACCTCTTCCCTTCCACGAGCCCCTCCCGCAAATCCGGCGTTGCCCCCGCCCCCAGAGTCCCTAACAACCGCGGGCCCACAGCGCCCACCGACCCCTGGACAAGTTTCCCGGCACAAGCAAGCCCTGTGGCGGCTTCTGTCCTCCTGGGACAGCTGCTGGTCCTCGCGCGATGTGCTTAGCTGGGAAGCCGCGGGTCCCGGCTTACTCCGAACTCCAGCGCTGGACCAACTCTGGACCCGCGGGCTCAGTGGGCCCGACGACCAGGCTCGGGCCGCCGCCCCCTGCCGAGCCCGCGCGCCGCAGCCCGGGCCCTGCTCATTCAGTGTACGAAACCCCCCTTTTTTCTTTACGTTATTTTTCTTTTAAAATATTTTTGAAGGCATTACGAGAGCAGTTGATCTCCTGTCGGCCAATTCCTCAGTGCCTCGCCGAAAGCGACAGCTCGGTGAAAAGAACTAGGCGGCGCGGCGGGCGCATGGGCGACCCCAGGCTGGCCGGCCCCCTCCCCACGGCTCAGGCCAGCTAGGAAACAGACTAGCGAGCGGGCAGCGCCAAGCGCTCTCCTTCCTGGCCTGCCCCTCGCCTACCTCGCCCGCAGGACTCCCAGCCTCCCCGCAGCTCAGTCGTGGGGACCGCGGTGCTCACACAGCTTCGTGCCAGCCGAAGTAAGCAACCAAGGAACTAGCCCCCCAAAAGACCAGATTAGGGGGACCAAATTAAAAGCAGCTGTTTAACATACCTTCCGAACCAGGCGAGGAGTCCTGAATGGAGAGGAACGCCCCCCACCGGCCATTGGCTCTCCAGAGTCTACGTCAGTAACTCTGGGTCCGCCTCCTCCCTCGCCCCGCCCCTTCCCCTTCATTGAACGCCCCCTGCCTCCACAAAAATAAAAATAATTAAACTAGCTGTGAGTGGGAGGTGCATCCGTGGAAGGGACATGCATCTCCCGCACCGCCTCCCGGAGGTTTTCGAGGACTTCGGACTAGGCCTTCTGGGATTCGGAGTTCCACAGGGTGGACACTTAGGAGGTGCCATCGGAGCTGCTGGGCTCTATTCCTTCGACACACACATTTGGAGCAGGGTCGATGGAAATAGCAGTCTGTGTCCGTGCCACTCTGAACACGCCGGGATTGCTTCTGATTTCAGAAGCTAAGCAGGGACGGCCTGGTTAGTACTTGGATGAGAGGCGGGTAGCGACTGACTGGAATGTTAGACTTTCCTGGCTATTCAACCTAACCAGTACAGGGCAACAGGCACTTCTCTGAGCACCTACTGGGAGTGAAGTGAAACAGACCTTCCACTGTATGTGCTGTCCTATGCAATTGTAAGCCTGCTGAGATATGTCCCCTCCACAAGGAGGGTGTGAGGGTGTTTGTGTGTGTATCCATAGTCGTTCCGAAAAGGGAGAGTGTACCTAGAAGTAGCTGGATGGGTTCTGAGATTACCCGGAACAGCAGAAACACAGAACTGTTGTAATGGTGAGTTTGCAGGCTACTAGGACATTTTGTGGGAGGGATTGGGGAAAGCAAAGACAAATTTTCCTTTTCTAAACTACTCAATCCAGAAAGACCTCATTACTTTAGCAGGTTGAAGCTCTGACTCAGATCCTTCCCTGCTTTATTTGCTATTTATCATAACTTCTAACTAAAAGGAAGGAGCATATCTGTTTAAGAGAGCTGAGCAGAGAGCCAGGGCACACATTGAGCAAGAAACACTTGGGGGAGGGAGGCGGGCGGGGGGGGGAGAGAACTCATAAAGCTTTCAAACTGACCTCAAACTTAAAGCAGATGATGCTAAACTTCTGCCTTCACCTCCCAGTGCTCAGATTATAGGCATGTACCACCACTGAAGGTTTATGCAATGCTGGATCAAACCTGGGACTTAATGCATG